TGGGTCATATGGTAGATCTATCTGTAACTGTTTGAGGAAACTCCATACCGTTTTAGATAGAGGCTGCACCATTTTGCAGTCCTACCAACAATGTATGAGAGTTCCTTTTTCTCTGCAACTTCGCCAGCATTTATCGTTCAGAGTCTTTTGGATTTTAGCCATCCTAACTGGGGTGAGATGCTATCTCAGTGTAGTTTTGATTTGCATTTCCCAGATCCTGAGTGATGTTGAGCATTTTTTCATATGACTGTTGGCCATTTGTATATCTTCCTTAGAGAAATGCCTACTTAGCTCTTTTGCCCATTTTTTAATTGGGTTGCTTTTTTTTTTCTTGTAAAGTTGTTTGAGTTCCTTGTATATTTCTCCTGCTCTCCGCTTCTCTACCATATGGCCAGGCTGCAAATTCTTTAAGCTCTGCTTTTCTTTTAAATTGTGGGTTCACCTTAAGCCTCTTCTGCCATAACTCAGTGCAGGCTGTTGCAAGTAGCCATGCAGGTTCCTTAATGCCTTGCGTCTTGGCAATTTCTTCCACCAAACATTCTGGCTCACAACTCTCAAGTCCCACCTTCCACAAAGTCCAAGGGCATGGACACGATGCAGCAAAGTTCCTTGCTATGGTGTGGCAAGGGTGATCTTTTGTCCAATTTGCAATAAGATCCTCATTTCTGTCTGAGACCTTGTCATCAGCAGTCTTTACTGTCCACATATCTATCTGCTTTCTGGTCACAAAGATTTAACCATTTAACTCTAAAATGTTCCAAACATTCCCTCATCCTTCTGTCTTCTTCTAAGTCCTCCAGACTCCACCAACCTTTGCCTATTACCCAGTTCCACAGCTGCTCCCACATTTTCAGGTATCTGTATAGAAACACCCCACTTCTCAGTACCGATTTTCTGTAGTCCATTTTGTGCTGCTATCACAAAATACCTGAAATTGGGTAATTTGTAAAAACAGAGGTTTATTTGGCTTACGATTCTGGGACAGCTGCATCTGGCATGGGCCTCAGGCTGCTTCTACTCATGGTAGAAAGTGGAAGGCAGCTGGCAGGTACAAGCAGATCACATGACAAGAGGAAGCAAGAGAGAAAGAGAGAGAGAGGACGTGCCAGGGTCTTTTAAACAACCAGCTCTTGCAGGAACTAATAGAGAGAGAACTCACTCACTATCCTGCCTGCCCCAGGGAGAGCATTAATCCATTCATGAGGAATTGGCCCCCATGACTCAAATAGCGTCCAGCACTGCCACATTGGGGATCAGATTTCCACATGAGTTTGGCAGGGAGAACACATCCAAACTCTATCAATGCCCAACAATGCACAATATACATATTGTTTTATATGATTGCTTTTTAAATCTTTTAAAAGATTAAAGAAGCAGAAATTTTGATTTATACTGTCTTTTCTAATTGCATAATTATCTTGTGCTGTTTTTTTTTCATATGGATTCTGATTACCATCTGGGGCCACTTGTGTTCAAGACTGAGGAACTTACTTTAGTATTTCTTGTTAGGCAAATCTGCTATTAACAAATTCTCTTAGTTTTTGTTTATCAGGAATATCTTTATTTCATATTCATTTTTAAAAGATAGCCTTTCTGGATATATGATTCTTGGTTGACAGCTTTATTGTTCTTTGAGCACTTTGAATATGTTTTACCACTGACTTCTAGCCTACATTATCTTTGGTTGAGAACTCAGCTTTTAATGTCATTTTGGTTCCCTTATAAGTGATGATTCATTTTTCTCTTGCTGTCTTTCAAAGTTTTGTCCTTTTATGTGGCTTTAAGGATCTTTACTATGATATGTCTGTAGATCTCCTTGTCCTTATTCTACTTGGAATTCATTGAGCTTCCTAGATGTGTAGTTTAATGTGTTTCAATTTATTTGTGGAGGCTGGGCCATTATTTCTTTGAATGTTTTTTTCTGCTGCCTTGCAAAAACAACTGTCGTTCCAGGGTGACTGTTTATCCAAGGATTTGCCCCAGGAGGAGCAATATCAGATTAACATTGCTTAGCGATGCTTAACATTGCAGAATGGGCTAGACTTTACTAAAATTATCCAGCTATTTACTTAACAAATAAACAAGAAGATAACAATAAAATCCACTGGGGTGAGGGGAGGAGAATGACACAGAGTTGCTACAATATATTATATTAGATGTCTAGTTTCCCACAAAAAAATTATGGTACATGCATGTGGACAGGAAAGTATGACCTTGGGGGAAAAAAAGCAGGCAACAGAATCTGCTTATGAGAGTGACTAGATATCAGATTTGACAAACAAAGACTTAAAAGTAACCATTATAAATATGTTCTAGGAACTAAAGAAAACCATGATGAGAGAAGTAAAGGAAGTTATGATGACAATATCCATCAAATAAAGAATATCAATAAAGAGACAGAAATTATGAAAAAGAATGAGATGGAAGATTCTGGAGTTGAAAAGTACAATAACTAAAATGGTATAATCTTCGCTAGAGTGGTTCAACAGTAGATTTGAGCTGTCAGGAGAATTAGTGAACTTGAAGACAGATCAATAAAGATTATTCTATCATTTTGCGGAGAAAGAGGAAAAAAATGAAGAAAAATGAATGTAGCCTCAGAGAAAAGTGGGTCATTATTAAGTGTACCAACATGCATGTAATGGGAGTCCCAGAAGATATCTCTCTGAATGGGAGCTGGGGAGAGAGGGTGTCCTGGGTTCTTGGCTACACCAGTCTGGAGTGGAGCTGGGAGGGAGAATAAAGGGAGCAGTTGGAATTTAAATACTTCAGATTCTCACTGTCTTACCAAATTTTACTAGATTTCTTGAATCAATGTTTCTTAATTTCATTAAAAATGCCCTCAGGACCATTTTGAGAGAAAATAAATGTTTGATATTTTTGTTTTTAATAATTTTCACCAGTTCACTGTGAGGTGGTTCTATAGAGCTCCTTACAGTATCATGCTGGAAGTCTGTCTCCCTCCCTACATTTAGGTTATAAATCATTATTTTGTACATAAGGCTTTGCTACTCTCTGCTCTTCCATATTTCAATTTGTTTCCTCTTTTCCCTCACAGCAGCTTTCCTTTGATTTATGACCTCCAGTCTTATTTGACCTGTTCTACATTAACTCATCTCACTCTTAGCTTTGAAATTCAAACAAAATAGTGAGTTTACATAGCATTTTATTTGAAATTCATCATTTACTTCTTAATATTAAAAAAGAAATATATGAGTTTTTTCTCCATGAAAAAAATTATAATAAGATCTTAGTCTACTTTCTCTCTTGATATAATGTTCTGAAATTTAAATTTTCCTTCAGATTAACGTCAAACTACCTTCCTAATGTCATTTTAATAATGCTAATATTTAAAAATCATCCTACATTTAGATATCACTTCAGTAATTTACAGCACAAATTTCATTACAGACTAGTAAACTTGGCCAGAGATAAGGAAGGACAAGAAGGGGCATGGAAAAGAGGATGCAAGCCACAGTGGCTGTCAATGAAGAGAGGGGTGGTTGGACACAGAGGAAGAGTGAGTGGAAGAAGCTTTACCTGGGTGTTCTTAGATTGACAGTTAGAAGTACACTTTGACAGTTCTTTGGATTTATTTTAAGAGAATCCACTTCTAGACTTCAGCTAAGACAAACATAAAGACTGCTTTTGCTGGTTGCCAACCCACTTCTATTTCCATTTTAATTTGAATGTCTCATCTGAAATTATTCTAGTATACAGTTTCATTACTCCTTTTGCCTCCCTTCATTTGGCACTCAATGGCAGTGTTTCCCAGTTTTATTTTTTTCTAATTTATTTATTTTTTTAATTGAGACATATTGACTATACATTTTTATAGAGTACAGTGTTATATTTTAATACATTTATAAAAAATGTAATGATCAAATCAGGGTGGTTAGCAAATTCATCGTTGCAAAAATTTATCATTTCTTTTTGATGAAAACATCTTCTAGCCATTCGAGAACGTACAGTAAATTACTGTTAGCTATAAATGCCTAGCACTACTACATACCACTAGAACTTCTTTTTCCTATGTAGTTGTAATTCAGTGTCCATTAACTAACCTCTTGCTGTCCTCTCCCCCTCTCCTTCCCAGCCTCTAATAATCACAGTTCTGCTATCTACTTCTAAAACTTCAACTTTTTTTTTTTTTTTAGCTCCCACAAATCAGTGAGAAAATGCAGTATTTATCTTTCTGTGTCTGACTTATTTTACTTAACATAATGACTTCCAGGCTGATCTATGTTGCTGCTAATGACCAGATTTCATTCTTGTTTCTGGCTGAGTAGTATTCCATTGTGTATATATGCCAAAACTTTACCAAGATTACATCATATTTTAACTCTAATCTGAGTAAATCTGGTATCAAAATAGATGCAGAAGTAATTTAGCACATTGATTACATCATAAAATTGATTCACCCACTTTTCATAGATTAGAGGATAATAACCTTGAATTGAGCACAAAAAGATGTTCTCCTCATTTTTTTTTTTTTTTTTTAAATAAAGACTCTTAGACTCCAGGTGAAATAGTAGTAATTGAGGAGGAAGTAGATATTAAGAAATATTAAAAGGCCATGTGTAGAAAAAATCAGCCTAAATTCTGGAAAAACCTTTGATGAGCCAAACTATTATGCTTCCCATCTTTCTTATGGCCAGGATATCCATTACCAAAGCTTGATGTGAACTTTACATTGGAGCAAAGAGAAGAGCCGTGGGTGAAGGAATTACAGGATTCCAAAGAAATGAAACAATTACTTGATTCCAAGATAGGTAAGTAATTGTTCATTGATATACTAGAGAAGAAAGAAAAGAAAAATTCAACCTTAATCAGGGTAAAGAGTTTGGAATTCTATTTAGGAATTTCTATATTCTCAGTAGTGGTTTAATATAACTCTTCATTTTCCCTTTCTTTTCTCCATGGAACATGGTGACATCTGCAATTTCTATTTCTTTTCTCAGGTTTTGAAATTGGGATAGAAAATGCAGAAGATACTTCAAAACAGAAAAAAATGGAGGATATGTATCCATTTTCTGTAACTTTAGAGGGGAATCCTCTCCACAGTCCCATTTTGCAAAAAGACTATGTACAATTAGAAAATCAATGGGACCCCCCCCCAGCAGATTTACAGAAAGATTTAACAAAACTTGTAGATCACCAGAACCCCACTGTAGGAGAGGTACCTGAGAGCTCCAACTTGGAAGAACCTCTCAACCCTAGACTTCATAAGAAAAAGAGTCCAGGAGAGAAGCCTCACCGATGTCCTCAGTGTGGAAAATGTTTTGCTCGGAAGTCACAACTTACTGGGCACCAGAGAATTCACTCAGGAGAGGAACCTCACAAATGCCCTGAATGTGGGAAAAGATTCCTTCGTAGTTCAGACCTTTATAGACACCAACGACTTCATACAGGGGAGAGACCCTATGAATGCACTGTATGTAAAAAGCGGTTCACTCGGCGGTCACACCTTATAGGGCATCAGAGAACCCATTCTGAAGAAGAAACATATAAATGCCTTGAGTGTGGGAAAAGTTTTTGTCATGGTTCAAGTCTTAAAAGACATCTGAAAACTCATACAGGTGAAAAACCTCATAGATGTCATAATTGTGGGAAAAGTTTCAGTCGACTGACAGCTCTTACTTTACACCAGAGAACGCATACTGAGGAGAGACCTTTTAAATGTAATTACTGTGGGAAAAGCTTTAGACAGAGACCAAGCCTTGTTATTCATTTAAGAATCCATACAGGGGAGAAGCCATACAAGTGTACTCATTGTTCTAAAAGCTTCAGGCAGAGAGCAGGCCTTATTATGCACCAAGTCACTCACTTTAGAGGACTTCTTTAAGAATTGTTAAGGGAGGGCCGGCCCGTGGCTCACTCGGGAGAGTGCGGTGGGGATAACACCAAGGCCCCGGGTTCGGATCCCATATAGGGATGGCCGGTTCGCTCACTGCCTGAGCGTGGTGCTGACAACACCAAGTCAAGGGTTAAGATCCCCTTACCGGTCATCTTTAAAAAAAAAAAAAAGAATTGTTAAGGGAGGGCCGGCCCGTGGCTCACTCGGGAGAGTGCGGTGGGGATAACACCAAGGCCCCGGGTTCGGATCCCATATAGGGATGGCCGGTTCGCTCACTGCCTGAGCGTGGTGCTGACAACACCAAGTCAAGGGTTAAGATCCCCTTACCGGTCATCTTTAAAAAAAAAAAAAAGAATTGTTAAGGGAGGGCCGGCCCGTGGCTCACTCGGGAGAGTGCGGTGGGGATAACACCAAGGCCCCGGGTTCGGATCCCATATAGGGATGGCCGGTTCGCTCACTGCCTGAGCGTGGTGCTGACAACACCAAGTCAAGGGTTAAGATCCCCTTACCGGTCATCTTTTTAAAAAAAAAAAAAAAGAATTGTTAAGGGAAACAAATCCTATAGCAATTGACACTAAGTCAAAAACAAACAAACAAACAAAAAAAACAAACTTAACCTGCAGCAGCTTGTTTGTCTTGGAAGCTTTCGTTTGAGCTTATAAGAATAGCTCTTTTTTTTTTTTTTTAAACCCACCTTCCAAGACCTATGAGTTCTAGAGTATTCACGTACTCTTGCAACTTTCCTAGATTTGATTTATTCTGTCTCCACAACTCTTATTTTTTATTACAATGAAAAATTTTGTGTTTCAAGGCAATTGTATCATAGGTGTAAGCATAAAGCATATAAACAATGACAATTCTTTAGGAGTATGGTCAATATAACCAATAACCATGTCTATCTGACATGTCTATAGCAGTACCATAATTATGCTGCTGTTATTATTAGAGGTGATTATATTAGTTCAAAGCTTCAGATGTGCCCCACATGGCAAATAGAGAGATGATGAATTTTGTCAAACAAAAATGTGTTGGGAACACAAAGGAGGAGAGGGTGTCATTTGCCTGGTAAGAACTGGGTTATTTCCTTTGAAATTTTCTATGTTTAAGGAAATTAAAGTTTTAACCTTTATTTTTAATTTTTTCAAAGTTTGCTAGTCTGCTTAGCATAGTATTAATTTGGTAATTTATTTTGTTCACAGGATAAGTAAGCTCTATGTCTGGAAGAATCCACTTGACAGTTGAAGTTGTACAAGTGGAATCTAATTTAATTTAGATTGACTGAAGAACCAGTGTCCATTGCTTTTTATTCAATCATGTGTCTTGGTGCTTTTTAAATTCTACCCATTCTTTAATTCAGTGTCTCTCTAAGTATGTCATAGAACACTTAGTTCTGCAAGATATTCTATAAATAGATTTGGGAATTGCTTCCTGCTGTTTCCCCCTCCTAGATTCATAGTGCACATCAGCTTATGAGAATCTCTGAGAGGTTCTCTAGTAAAGAGGGAAAAAACACCTCTTTTGGTTCAATGTTTTCCAAATTTACTTGACTCCAGACCCTTTTTCATGTACACCTAGTAATAACTGACACAAACTAGTATTCTGCAAATACCTCTTGAAACACACTGCCTTAAACAAATATTTCTATAGCTGTCAGTGTAGTCCTGTTGTTGCCAAGCCTAGTTATTTCCAGTTGTTTCAAAGGTATTATGAAAAAAAAATTGAACATATATGTCTTTTGTGTAATACGCACATTCACACATACATTTTAAGGAAATGAGAGTCACTAATTCATGTAATTTATAAGTTGCCCAGTGATTCTCAACCTCTTCGAATTTTACTTATAATCTCTCTCTCTCTCTCTCTCTCTCACACACACACACACACACACACACACATACACACACACACACACACACGTTGCTACTTATTATATATTTTCATATAACCATGGTAACAACTCAAATTCCTATAGCAAGGGAAGGACTCTCATTGTCAGTTAAAACTGTTAAAACATGAAAATATTCATTAAGCCTAGTTCCTTGTTATAAATACAAGAAATAGGACATTCAAGCATTTTCCCTTATGAAGATATCCAGTCATCCTTTTCTTAAACTAGAATTAGAGAAAGTATATCTCTTATTCCATTGAAGTTCTTGGACATGATATATAAGTATTTTGGTGATATCTACTATGTGCCTAACTAGTCCTGTTCTAGGCTTAAGGGAAGCTATTAAAGAAATAGAATTGAAGGGTCAGACTCATAAAAAGTTTATGATATCTTTAGTTAAACAAGAGTTGGGAAACAAATGGAAAACAATGCAAGAGAGTTTGTAATGAAGTGCCAAATCATATCAAGTGCTAGAGCCAGGATGGGTCTTTAATTCTTGTCATCCAGGTCCCTGTATGATGCTGCTTTAGGTCTGGGGTTAAAAGTGAGATCCCAGTAGCAATAAACATGTAACATGGGAGGAGTCTGAATGTAGAGATGAAAAATACCGAATGTAATGGCTTCTCTTTTCTCTCTTGTGGAATTGCATTCAAACCAGAACAGTGCCTTAGAATGGATGTGCCCAACTGCTCTGTATTTATGCAGTATTTTAATAAAGTGGACATGTATATGCTCTTACTGCTTCAATTGCATTAATTGTTTCTACAAATTACAGGTGGTTACCTGAACAGTGGCAGCAAGCGCTGCAATTGTCTCCTGTCCCTGTCTCAAATCACTTTATTTTTTACTTCTATCCTATTTGGGCCACTGTCATTTTGTTCTTTTTTTTTTGAAACACGATTGATTATACATGTTTTTGGTGTACAAAATTGAATATAAATACCTGTGTACAATATGTGATGGTCAAATCAGGATGATTAGTATAGTCATCATTACAAAACATAATCACTCCTTGTGCCCCTTAACCAATTTTGCCCTAACACCCCTCCCCCACCTCTAATAATCACAGTTCTGTTCTCTCCTTTTGAAAGTTCAATGTGTTATTATGTTGTTGTTTCTTGCTTGCTTCCTTATTTATTTATTTATTTATTTATTTATTTATTTATACACCTATTTATCTATTTATTTATTTTTAGCTCCCACTTATGAGTGAAGACGTGGTATTTCTCTTTCTGTGTCTGGCTTATTTTGCTTAACATAATTTTCTCCAAGCTCATCCATGTTGTTGTGAATGACAAAAATTCATTCCTTTTTATGGTTGAGTAGTATTCCGTTGTGTATATATACCACATTTTCATTATCCAGTCATCTATCAATGGTCATTTACATTGGTTCCATATCTTGGCTATTGTAAATGGAACTGAAATAAACATGGCAGTTGAGGTATCCCTTTGACATGATGATTTCCATTCATTTGTGTATATACTCAGTAGTGGGATTGCTGTGTTGTATGACAGTTCTATCCATAGTTGATTAAGAAACCTCCATCCTGTTTTCCTTAGTAGCTTCACTAATTTACAGTCCCACCAACGGTGTGGAAAGGTTCTCCTTTCTCTGCATCCTTTCCAGCTTTCGTTATTCTCTTGCATGTCATTACCAGAAGACTGTTGTTTTGATTTGCATGTATAGATGACATGATCCCAGTTTGCAAATGGAATCACTTTTCTCTCTGCAACCATGGCACTGTGATTCTACATCATTTTTAGCATTTAATACAGTACATTTTTGCAAGTAGAGTTAGTTGCACTAATAATATGAGCTGTATCCTCCCCCTCATCTATATTATAAATACACATGACTAAATTTTTACAGGGTAGAGAAAATCTAGTCTTCATATCTTTGTTACAGTGCCCTGTTTATAATAACCATTAATAAATATTTGTGACATCTAATCAAGAAACATGTGAAGTAGTTCTTGGAAATATATAACATAGTTAGAACATTGCATGGGTATGTCTAATTATACTCCTTAGCATTTAAAAAAACTAAGGGCAAAATATAGTACCCCCTCTTAATTATATTATGAAGGGCAGAAAACAGTACCCACCTCATATGCACCGTGAAGACTAAATGAGATATATTTTGTTTGGGTCCTTATACAGTGTAAGCTTTTAATAAATATCCAGCACTTTGTATTTTTATTCTTTGTTGTTTAATGAAAAAAGGATTTAAGGCTATGGATTTTCTTTTATTTATAGTTTTGGTCACATTCCATAATTTTAATATATAATGTTCTTATTAATGATTTCAAAATTATTTGTTATTGTAGTTTTCATTATAATTCCTCTTTGACCCCAGACCTGTACAAGGTTGCAATTTCCCTCTTAATTTTTGGTTTTACTACATTGTAATTAGAAAATAAGTTTTATTCCATTTCTGCTTTTAAAGCTCATTTAGTTCTTTTTTTTTTTTTTTTAAGATTTATGTTTGATAAAATTTAGTGTATCCTAAAGATCCTGGAAAATAAGGGTTGTATTTGTACGGCTGAAATTTATTTAGAGTGCAGTCTTAGATCTCTCAATTACTTTAATATCTTAAAGAGTAATCCTGGTGTTTGTGAAAAGGCAGCGATATAGAAATTGAGTTGCTTCCCATTCTGCTTCCCTGCATTTTGTGCTCGTCTTTCCCTTGGTAAGAGGTTTCTGGTTTTTTTAAAAAAAACTGTTCTATGGCAATTGCTAATAGCTGCCTGGGTATTGAGGCTGGCAGTAAAATCAGTAGGCTAAAGGACCTAGGTGAGACCTAGCCTCTTCAAACCAGGCATAGAAGGCTTTCCCTAAAGATTCAATAGTTGTTTCTCCTGAAAGCAGAGAGAACCTGCAGGAGGCACTTTGAAGTTTTTGCAATTGTGACCCTTCTGAATCAGCAGAGCTTGTTTCATGGTGTGCTAAGGATGTTGTCTAGGCTAAAATCCAGGAAAATAGGGAATATACAGGGGAATCAACCAAGGGACTCATAATTAAGTGGGGGAAGAGAGTTATACTTTGCTGTCTTGCCCCTGGAGTCACCATGACATTACCAAGAAAAAAAAAAAACTTAGGGA